TGTGAAGGTGGTTCATGGCCTGGTACCAAATAACCAAGATGGTGACACCCAACAATAAAATGATGCTAGTGGCCAGGTAGTGCACAACACAAGTTTTCAGAGGGACTCAAGGTCTCATCTGGCCAGTGAACAGAGAATAGATTAATTCGGTTTGGCCACCTGGGGCCCATTTTGTACACCAAAGCAGTAATTTGCTAAATGGGTCCCTTGTAGTAAAAGAGAACGAGTAAACAGTAAGCAATTTAGGCATGTAAACCACTAGTAGCTCAAGGGATATAAAAATGTGAAACTATAATTAGATCCCTTGTTCATAATGCACTAACTAAACGTATTAGATTGTATATTGGATCTTTCCGAGTTTATTTCTGGACACAGCTGAGCTCTTAACAATTCAGACCAAAACGTCCAGCTATCAATTTGTGTCCTCATTAAAATTCAAACTGCTTATATGAGAGAGAGGGGGAAACATTCCAGAGATGGTTTACTTTTATCTTAGATCTAAGGATACAAAACAGGATTAACCCAGATACATTATACAGCAAGCCACTTATAAATCACACAGTATCAAGTAAACTGTGGCAATAAATTGAAAGTGATGTTCTCTTTTTCTAAACTTAGCTGTGAAAATATTTTAACAAGTTGGCAGAGGGGTTAGCAACTTTTCTGTCTGCTGTTTCTCAGCAAGATGATCTTTTAGCTCCTTAAAATCGGATGCTTTGCACAGGGTGGCTTGTCAGAAGGGCAGCATTAGGGTGCGGCTGGCACATGTTGGAGGGGATATTCATGACTTCCGTGTTTTTGGAGCATTGGCATACTTTTCTCACCAGGAAAAGCTGTTATTCCATGGGCGTCTGGAGAACACTTGTCCTTTGCTGAAATTCTTCTTATTCAGAGAAGTTGCACCGCGTGGGTTGGCACAGATGGTCTGGATGATTTGCCATGGTGTGAGCAAACTCTAGGTACAAGCTCACTGCCCTTATCAATCTCTGTGATTTCAACGAGGAGGTTCCGGCAGATCAGTGTTGTTTCAGGCACTGTTGAGTCACTTCTGACTCCCAGTGACCCTATTAGAAAAGCATGAAATGTCATCCAGCCGTGAAATTCGAATGCCTGCCACAGCCACCAGGGCAATTCGTTTTGAGAGGGTCTTCTTTTTTCACTGAGCCCCTGCTTTACCAGGCATGACGTCCTTCTTCAAGGAACACGTCCAGTGTGTCCAAATCAAGTGAGACAAATCTTGTCATCTGGCTTCTGAGGGGAATCTGGGCAGGTCTGTCCATTTTCTGGTGCTCTAGCCTGTATTCTTCACCAACTCCATAGTTCAAGCACGTCAATTCTTCCTGTGTCTTCCTGCTTTGTGATGGAGTTCCCAAATTCACAGACGGCAACTGAAAATACGGTCAGGCACACCTTAGGTCTTCGGGCAACTGATATCTTTGCTTTTCAAGGCCTTGAAAAGGCCTTCTTTCCCCTTCCCTTCCAGGCTAACAACTTCACTGGCAGTTCAGGTACAAAACAAGAAAGTGTCACATTCTGACTTTTAATATCTTGGGTACAAAGGAGAGACCTACGGTGGCCTAATGGATAAGGGGTTATGCTGCCAACCCAAAGTCAGGCTGTTTGAATCCACTATTAGTCCGTAAGAGAACCATGAGTAGATGACTCCTGTGTGATTTACACTCTCTGAAAACCTGCTGGAGGGTCCACTAGAAGTTGGTTCTGGCTCTGTGGCAATGCGTGAGTGAATGAATGAATGAATGAATGAATCCGTGGGTACAAAGGAATCAGGCATCATTCAGTTTACATATTCTATGCCAGAAATCAAGCCAAATGCATTCTAGATTTCTTGCTCTACCATAAATTCAATACTCCCCCCACCCTACCTTTGAGGACCTAATGTATTTTCTTCTTCATGCTCAGATATTTTAATACTCCCTTTTCTCTCCTTCCTCATTTTAAGAATCCTTTTTTCTCAAGTCTTCACTGCTGGAGTATATCATGGCTCCTCCATCACTTCCCTCTCCAGGGCTCAGAATATAACATTTTCTGAGAGACACTCAAGCTGTCCAGCTCACCTTGGAGTAGCTGTTTGGGCTGTAAATACCTTCAAAGAGTAAACAAAATTCCTAGGGGATATAAAAGCAGAGGTATGGAGACTGTGAAGCTAAATGATAACAGGAACCAAGGCTGGACCAATACAGCACCATGATTTCTCAGAGAAGATGCTAGTGGCCATCAGACCAGTGGCAACAGAATTTATGATTAGAAGAAACCTGCCTTGAACTTGTTTTATTAGCTAGCTATAGATTCATGACTTTAGAAAGCTGATGTGGGAGTTACTAATCCTTTTATAAATATAGCATAAATGAAAGAGTTTTATAGGAAATCTAAGAGACTAAGGGATAGAAAATTATGTAAAGACTCTGTGTGTTAGTACTGTGATTTAATACGTGCTTTCTTTTTTAATCTTATGAAATGGTGGCTAAAATCAGGAGCTCTGGTGCTGTAGGCAGCAGGCAGGTGTGCTGCTAACCCAAAGATTACACTTCTCGGGCAATTCAAATCCACCAGCACCTCTGAGAGAAGATGGGCACTCTCTCCCGTTCGATTTACAGCCTCAGAAACCCAACAGAGGGTCAGCTATGAGTTGTTTCTGACTCAACAACAATATGAATTGTTTTTGTGTACCATAGCTGATCCTCTGGCAGGTTTTCAGAGGCAATTAATTAATCACATAGGAGGAGACTGCCTATCCTTCTCCCACAGAGCAGCTGGTGGCCTTGAACCATGTGCCTTCAGGATTGCAGCACAGCTTCTTGCATCTAGTCCACGAGAGCTCCCTAGTAAGAAGTAAAAGTTAAAATAATGTTCTTTCCATTCCTAGAATACTTTTGAGTTAGGGGCTACTCAAGGCAAGGTGTAAACAAATGTGGTTGATATCAGTCTTCAGTATTCTTACCTATTTCCCTGCACATTTTCCTTCTATGACCATGCTGTTGCCAAGTATCATCGAGTTGGCTCCAACTCACAGATATCCTTTGTTCAACAGATTTGAACCCTGTGCCATCCTCACCACTTCTGCTAAGTGTAAACCCATTGTTGCAGTCACTTTTCCAATCCATTTCATTAGGGGTCTTCCTCTGCTTTGCTGACCTGTTACTTTCCAAGCATGATGTCTTTCTCCAGGGACTGGGTCCCTCCTGATGATATGTATGTTATTGTCATGGATTGTTAAGGCAGACCAATTAATTGCTGACCCTCCAGCAGGTTTTCAGAGACATTAAATCACAAGGGAGGAGAGGCTCATCTTTCTCCTTCAGAGCAGCTGATGGATTCAGACTGCATGCCTTTGGGTTGGCAGCACCACTGCTTGCCTCTAGGCCACCAGAGCTCCCTTGATAACATGCATTGTTGTTAAGTGCTGTCGAGTTGTAGATGACTCATAGCGGCCCTATGAACAAAAGGCCTGAACACTTGTATAACTTTCATTTCTCCAAGTTCATTGAGTTTCTGGAGGCTAGCTATTTTGGAAGTGGATGCCACTCCTGCTTCCAAGCCTGTTTTAATTGGGAAGCTCCACCAAACACTGTCCCCCATGGATAACCATTATCACATTTGACACATCAGTGTCACAGTTTTTAGCATCACAGCAACCACGAGTTACCTTTGTACAGCAAATGGACAGACCAGTGTTATACCACTTAGAAGAATATTTGACCAAAACCAAATAAAACCAGGCCAGAGGGCTGCAGATTAAAATCATCCACCTTTGGCTTGGTAGCATTACTTTCTATCAGCTAGGCCAACAGAGCGCTTTCTATGTTGTTATGTCTTCAGGGGGATTTGCATTCTCCCTAATTTTAAAATAAAACTCCCTGCTGCTGATCGGATGTAAGTGGGGGAAAAAAAATTAGTTTCATGAAGCAAAAGAGTATGATCTAAAAAAGAAAAAAGTAGAAATGAATTTCCACAAGTTTCAAAGATCACCAAAAGAAACATTTAATTTTTGCCCCCGTACTTTTCTTCATTCTTCTTCAATGAATCTAGGTCGATTGATTCAGCGTTTCTTGCCCTTATTAATTTATATTATTTCAACAGCAAGTTGATTCTTTCTCTTTCTTCTTTTCAAGTACAATCACTTTTAAAAAGATAATATTCGGTGTAATAGGCAGTTGAAAATCAGCTAGAAGTCTCACATATGAAAATCCAGATTTGTAAAACAATCCGGAGGAAATGGTCATTCTGTTGAAAAGATTTCCTGAATTCCTTTTACTAAACTGCCCTGGCCCAGCCCACGCTGCTGTTTTCGCTGACAAGAAAATAGTTTTGAAGACTAGAGAGAAACAAAGTAGCAGTAGAAAGGAGTTCCTCCTCTTCAATGTCAAAAGAAAAATGAAAACAAGGACCCTGGTGGAGCGAAGGGAGAGAAAGTGTCTGTTCCTTTTACCAGCGACGTTTGTTCTAGTCCCACCGCTTTGCTGCCATCGAGCTACTGCAGAGGTCAAGATCAAGGGAGAGGAGAGCTCAGCCCTTTGTCCTTTTCCTTCTCGGGTGGGGAATATGGGTCCGGTGTGCACGATTCCCACTAAGCACATTCAAGGACTGTCAACATCAGACTTTACAGCACTGTCTTCCCTGACTTGGAAAAAAAAAATTAGAAAAAGTGAGGCTGGTCCACGTTAGTGGCCAGTTAGCTATCTTGTGGTGCTGCAGGTTTGTATTTGCAGGTCATACGATGGACAAAGGTGAGGATCAAAGACCTTTGGACAGCTTGACGTCCCTCTAAGCCTTCATTTTCAATTAGCTGGGAAAAGAAGTTACCCGGACAGCCGAGTTGGGCAGAATAGAGTACAAGTTAAGCAATCCCACAATCAATGTGCCCCCCCCCCCCCCGCTGAGTTCAACAGCAGAGGGCACAATAGCCACTGTCCAAGCTCAAGCTGCCAGGAGCGGCGGATCCCTAAGATTGCTGGGACTTGTAGTTCGCCACGCCCCCTCAGGCCGACCCGTCCCAAGAACAGAACTACAACGCCCAAGGAGCACCGCGCGTCCCGGTTCTCCCGCCCCCTCTCTCAGGCGCCCCGCGACCAGGTCGGCCCTGACAGTCCCAGAACTGCCCGGCTCCGCCCCCGCACGCACGCGTCTCATTTGTTTACCCTGAAGCTCCGCCCCCTGGCTGCCCGGGCTCTCCCCGCTCCTCCCTGGAATGCCGTAAGCATGTCTAATGCATATTCATGAGGTCGGCGGGGAGTCCCCGCCCCCCTCGCGCTGATTCATATTCAATGAGGCCGACCCGCGCGTCTGGCTGGCTCGGGCGCGGCGGGAGGGGCGGGGCCTGCGCGGAGCCGG